AATTATTAATATAATATGGATAATTCCAGAATTTAAACTTTCTGGGTTTTAATTTTCTGGAAAATTATGGTCTACGGTATCACTTTCTGTAAAACTACGTTCTGTGATTATAATTTCAGGCTTTAAACTTTATGGAATTTAGTTTTCTGGAAAATTATGGTCTACGTTATCAATTTCTGTAAAACTACGTTCTGTGATTGTAGTTTCAGGTTTTCAACTTTCTGGGATTATATTTCTGGAACATATTTTACGTTCATTTTATTTTCGATATGAAATCAATTCTGGAACATTAATTTTCAATTATTTATTTTTCTGTAATTTTTATTTTCTGTCATTTTATTTTTCTGTTAAATTTAATTTCTGGATTACTAACGTTCTGTTCATTTATTATCTGGGAAATTACGCGTGCCCTTCCCCATCCCACTGCAATATTAATTCTAATCACGAACTAAGCATAGTCCTTGGTTCGTGGTCTAAACATGCTCAAAAGATGATAATGATTTTGATACCACTGAGATAACTAATAAATTGAAATATACATGATAAAGAAAACTTTAAAATTATTTCATAAAATTTTCTTTATCATGAATTAACCGTCTTCTTTAGTTATTCATTCTTCATAGATCAATATTCAATATTCATATTATTGCCCATGGTTAACTATAATATAATACAATTTTATTATACAATTTGTTATTTCTGTTTTCTACTGAGTATTCTATAGTTTTATGGTATTTGAGCCCTGTCCTTATCCCTTTACTCTACTCATTTCTTTAAGTATTGTAAAAATGAATAAAATTGTAAAGTCTTACAAATGTTGCATTTTATGTCTGAAGTCGCCAATTAAAGTACCTGGTCTTAAATTGCATCGGTAAGTATACTTAAGTATTATTACTTTTATTCCTGTGAGGCATAGATAATTTTTATTTATTAGTTTAAAAAGTAGCTAGCTTAGATACAAGCTCAATCTTGACTTTTTATTTTGGTGGGTGAATATTCAGTATACAGTGTGTAATGAAAAGAACCAATGATTCGATAATTGTTGTAATAGTATATAAATGCATGCATAATTATTAATTTGTACGTTTTAGAGCATATAATTCTGAGCCCTAATTATTAGTAGGTAATTAGTATTTTATGGTATAAAATATGTACATAGCTAATTTATATTTATATATTTAGTAGTGTAGAATAACTTGATCAGTTTATATTGTATTGATCAATTTCTCGGAACTACTTCAATTAAAAACATATTTAAATTTACAGATTTCCAACGGACGAAGTAAAAATAAATGTGTGGTTAAATGCTTGCGGCTTAGAAGCTGAAGACTATTTACCAAATCGAAGGTTATGTTCCAGACATTTTGATGAAACATGTTATACCAAATCTGGTTCTCGTTTAAAATTAGATGCGATTCCTACAAAATATTTAAAAGGGCAAATCATACGACCATTTTTCCAACTGTAAGTACTGTTAATTTAGATTAAATTTTATATTATTTTTAAGTATGCATTATTATGTATGTTAAATAGATCTAAAGACAAAATAACAAATTACGACATCAACTCTACTTGTGAAACTGATCAATTGACTATTCAGCCATCGACGTCTGAAACAGTAAATATTAGTAATGAAATCTGTTCAATTAATACTACTCTTGAACTGCCAGGTGAATAATAAAGATAATAATTTTGTTATTTATAATTAATAATATATGCATATTTAATTTTTGTTGTTGCAGAAACTCCAAAAAAGAAAAATTATTTTATTGGTAAAATAAAAACACCTGACTTTGCTACACCCAAAAGAGATAGAAAGAGTTTCATATTAGCTGAAACTCACATTAAAATGCAAAAAAATAAAATTAAAATTCTCAACCAGAAAGTTAACAATCTAAAAAAAGAGTTATCTTCATTAAAATTATTTATGAGTGATCTAAAACAAAAAAAGTCTTTTAAGTAAAGTGGCCCATGATAATATTTTGGTAAATGTTGACAAGTTTTTTACTAGTTAGATACCATTGATTTTATAATATACAGTCATACAGATACACCATCATATTGTTAATATTTGAAGCTTCTAAATTCTCTCATCCACTGGGTTTGCTGTATCCATTTACATTGGGCTTAATGCATATAATGTATATTATCTAAGCTTCCGATATTAATTATACTACAATACTACATTACTACTTTAGGATGGTTTACCTGTATATTATAAGATCAATAAGATACCTATAATTTGTTTAAGTATTAAGAATTGTTATCATTGCCACTGCTGAATGAAATTAATACTTCCAGTTAATATGACAAATATTTTAACTTAGTGGTGCAGCCAGGATTTTAAAATGGAAAATGGGGTAGGGGGAGGGCAAAGCCAAAATATTTTTAAAAAATACTCAACAATTAAAAATAATAATAATTTTTTTTTTTTTATTGTTGATGAAAAGTCAATATTAAGTGTTGACCCCTCCCATTGAAAATTCCTAGCTAAGTCACTGCTATATACTCAATTTTTATTTGTATTGTTATTATTAATTTAATATCATGTTTTTAAATATATTAATTTTTTTTTTTATGTCAATGATATGAGGCCCGGAAAATTCAACCAAGAATTCAGAGAAGAAAATGGTAACATTCAATGGGTTTATAAAGAGGAGTCAAAGGAAACAGTGGCTAGGACATGTAATGAACTTGTTAGAACTTCTAAATTGAAAACCGGAAGGAAAAAGTCTATGGGGTCGTCCACAATAGAGATGGATGTTTGTCATAGAAAAATTTTTGGAAGAAATTGGAGCATAGATTTTGAGGGAGATAGTACAGGTTCGGGACAAGTGGAGTGATTTGGTAATAGTGGAAAAAACTCTTGGAGAGTTATGGAGGCCAGAAGAAGAAGAAATAACAACTGATTCTGTTAGAGAAATTATAATTAATAGAGGTTTGAAAGCTAAGAATTCAAAATATACCGTAGCTAAATGTAGTCTTGCTGTCACACTACAATAATTTTATTCTTCAAAAGCCTATGGTTTTGTAAGGAAACCCTCAAAAAAAGGTTATAATTATAATAATTGTGTTTGTAAAAAAGTCTGTTTATTTTGTTCACTGGAATGTGATACTGAATAATGTATTAAATTTGAATTCTATGATATAATATCGTATACGATGTGTATACGAAAAACGATTCTGAGTGGAGACAGTTTGTCAGTCTGGATATTTTATATTGTTATTATTATTTATTTTAGCCTGTAAGTTGAATTAATATCATAAATTGCAATAAAATACCTAACTAAAATCGTTATTTTTATTTTTATTCTTTTCTATGGCGATAAACAAAGCGTTAGAAATTAAATCCTGTTTTTAGCGGTTTTTCGTAATAATAATAATAATTCTTTTTAAAATATTTTAAGCAAGTACAATACTACCATATTTTGAGATGTGGCTGAATTGTCTACAGAAATTGATTTTAAGACAGCCATACAGCCATAATGCCATATACTAAAATATGGCAGTATTGCATTTCATATTGTGGCATAGTGCATATAACAAATTATAAAATGCAATACCAGCACAACTCTAAATATTGCCGTTTTGTACTCAAGATGTTTAGATCTTAACGATAATTAGATTGTATTTACTGCAAGAACACCACAAATCTAAATAAGGCAGTCCTGAATTTTGAGTTCAGTGATTAATTGGATAAATTTAGAATAAGTATACTGCTACCTATAAAGTAAACATGTCTCTCTTGCTTTTAAAATTGGCTAAAAATGAAAATAATTCCATACTGACACATATTTTTAGTGGCTGAATGAAAAATGATTAAAGGTACTTAAAGATTTGAGTATGTCAGTATGACAATAATTTATTCAATAAACGAGCATTTTGTTTAAACGTTTCTTTAAATGGTACAAAACTCAAAAGGATTGTCTAAATCTAGGAAGTCTACCAAATATAATGTTAAAATTTGTATATATATATTTTGTTTTAATTCATATGCAGTATTGTATATTGATTTGATATTTTACAAAATTATAAAATATGTTACATACTAAATCTGCATATTTCCTGGTAATGAGGGCAATATGAGGCATTATTATGTGAAATCGGCTATGGAAAACAAAATATCAGCTTAGCAAAACTTCTTGTACCTACCTTCAGTCACATGGACGCATCAGTAACGTCATACTTTAAGGCTGGCGAACCTTTTCCACCAAGTACGATACATTAAAAATGACAAGTATCCGATGAGCTACCACACTATTTGTGTGAGCCACTACACTATTTGTTTACTAGGTATTTATATTATTACATGCAGCATAATAAAATATTCTCCATCGGAAAATCGTATGTTTTTCTTCTCTTTCAAATACAATATATTTACCTACTGTGTATATAATAGCTCAATATTGTACTTTAGCTAGTGAAACGTATAAATTGTTAATTTTACGACTTTTGTGCGCTTCCGCAAACCTACGATTTTCATGTGTTATAAAATGCGTGTATTATAATCACCTTCGACGATTATAATATACGACGGTGTAATATATAATGACTCGCGAATATTTTCAAAACTATACGATAAAAACTGCAATAACATATCAGAATATAATTATTTTGAACAAAGCTGTGCTATTATAACACCGCCGTATACCCATCACAGTTGAAACGCATGCGCAGTTATTCGCCGTGGCCCGTGGTGTACGCATTCATTGAGATCGTAGGTAATATAATATGATCTATGAAAGTTCGATGGATGGCATTATATAAATAGAGACAGACACCGACCCGTCGACTTAGTAACGAGGTTGGAGGCTCGACAAGATAACCGAAGAGAAGACTGCAACCAGTTCACGACCGCGGTCGGTGCCTATATATTATAATAGGCGTTATTTTTGAATCTACCTATATTATAAATTATTATATTCCAAAATTATAGTGTCTCATTCCGGACGGGTTCGTTTGTGGCGAAAAATTTCGAAATAACTTTTAAGGCGATCGAAATGAAAACTCTAAACTGTCCGCCGTCCAATCGGTTTTTCCGGTCGTCGTCACTTTTTCGACACATTATTTTTTTCGTCGGTTTGCTATCGTCGCCGACCACCATTGTCACATCGCAGACCACAGACAACACTACTGAAACGTGGTCGTATCCCTGGAAAGGCTGGGACATGTACGAAAATGTCAGTATGTCCACCGTAAGTATTTTTCAACATTGGTAGAAAAAAATATAAAATATAAATTGGCAAATTGCAATAAGACCTCATTAAAATATTCCCTTTGGAGCTGAAATGTTTGGAACGTAATAACACTAATAAGGTATAACACAATATACTATACAGATGTCCAACGCTTTTGTACTTAGATACCAAAGCATCTGAGTCCATATATTAACCAAATGAGTAAATAAGGTAAAAGGCTCAATAATAAAAAGATTTACGAATTTAATAATAAATAAATATATACACTCATGAAAAATATAGGAATCAAACTATATTATGTAATTATGTGTTTCATTGTATTCACTAAATGATACATATTATTATTTTACTTTTTACAATCCGGGGAAAACCAATAGGTACAAATATTAGAAAATGCACAATTTTTATTTTAATCGATCCCATATTAGCCAATGTTATAGTGGTACAATAAATTGATTTTGTTTTGTTTTATGGTATACAAAAATCGTACTTCGAAATCCCGACCAACCTAGTTTGAGTCCAATCATTGGCGAACTTAGTCAAATAACAAGTTATTACTAACTGAACTTAGTCATAATAAGAATCCAATAAGACGAGTATACTAGGCGCAATTAGAGTTTGGGATGTGGGGGGGGGGCTAAAGCCTTACTTTGATAATATTGAATAAGTTTAAAACAAAATGTAGGAAATGTTTGGGAGGGCTTAGCCCCTAAAGACCCCTCCCCTATTTGGGCCTATGCGAATATAGCAATTAGCAAATACCTACGTACTGTACCGATGACCATCGTTTTATCGGTGGTTAAAATATTACCTGTAATGTCGTTAATATATTGTAGTTAATTAATAATTTCAATGTGTTTAAAATCGTAATTATAAATATCTATATCAAATTATAATTAACGATTTCACAGATTTTTATTTTTAAGTAGGTACCTAAATAGTTAGCTCGTGTAACAGGTGCATGATAGATTAACCTTGAATCTTCAATATAATTCAATGATTCTGTAATCATTAACGAGAGAAAAAGATTTACGAAATATAATAATATATTGAAGTGACTAAATGTTTAAATTATTCTCACTCTAGTCGCAGAATCTATAAGTCTGGACTTGTAATTTGTAATTCGATAATAGGTAGGTATTTGTCTTGTCAGTTTGCACTGCTGAGAGCCTTCTGGTTTCGACCATTAATATTATGAATCGAATTGGGTATCAAACTTACTTATTATACATTTATACCATGTTGCGTAGATTGTAAATATATTTTTTCTTAATAAAAACATAAACAAAAAAAATGTCTGTATAAAATATCGATTTTAAAAGCCACCAAAATGTGCAAAGCGCTATAATTTATATGTATATAGTAAATCTTTGATCGGATTCGTTTATCAAATGTGCTGATTTGCAATAAACTATTTTATTTTATGTACATTTATAATTGAAATGGCACGCGCTGCCATTGACAAGGTCTAACGACTTTATTATTATGGTATTTTTGTCAACGACAGTTTCATAAAAATCAATTCACGTTCTTCGAATATCCCAGAAAATATTTCTTATATTTTAAATTCAATACGCCAACACTACAGCATATTATAAATTTGTAAATTTATTATACATAATGTATAACTGGTGTCTTCAAATTAATAAAATAGAATTTAATTGTATTTATATTGTATTTCGATTGCTGTATAGGCGTGTATTAGGTATTGTCAGCGTATAATAAATCGATGTAGGTACGTAAATCATATTATAAATTATACTACTAAACTAGTGCACGTGTGTCAAGGAGAGAAACAATGTGCCAACGAGCAATCGATATTTTCACGGTTTGTTGCGATTAATAAATTTACATTTTGCAGACTGCCAGCATAATAAAGGTACACTGTTCTAATGCCCAATCGTAATAACATTTTCTCCATAATATATTTTTCTACGCCAGTTGAATTATTTTTACCTACAATATCCATTATATAATGTAGGTACGTCGATTCTGGTCCAAGGTGCCTATATACTGCCTGTATATATTTATTAGTTGATTTGTTTATTTATATTAGGTATATTATACTTATGTACCTATAATGATTATGTACCCATATTATATAAACGTAAATCCTGCAATTTCTTCAACGTGTTTTCAGAATATACAATTTTGCAAACTCATATAGATATGAATATCTATTTGTATAGGTAAGAAGTTGGTCTTCAAATCCACGATATTATTTTCGACATCAATTGTGATTAAATTTAATAATTATTATGATTTATGATCTTCGAGATTGAAATCAATAAGGCAATAATATCATAATATAATGCCATAATGGTTATATTATACTTAAATCATATTATCATAATAGTAACTCTTAGATATTTCGGTTTGTTAAAATATTGTTTGTGCCTTAAGGTGGACATCATCAAGAAAAACGGATACGCCGCCGAGATCCACCATGTCATCACGGAAGACGGTTACATCCTTGAATTGCATCGCATCCCCAGCAGCAAGATCGGACAGAAGCCCACCAGAAATCATCCTGTCTTCTTCCATCACGCGTTTCTCTCGAATTCGGCCGGATGGGTGCTCAGCGGAGCTAACACATCTCTGTGTGAGTGATTAAGTAAAACACGGTTGAGTACTAAGATTCGGAAGGTGAACATTTTGAATTCCCAGTAGTTTTCAAAAGTGCAGGGAAAAAAAATAAGGAAAAACTGGAACTTTTACGCAAGATCGGTTTTCGACAAAATCGATTTTGGTTTTTGGTGTAACGCTAACATTTTCAAAATATATTGCCTCACGTTGAGCTATTTATAGGCATATTACATTTTCGATTATTATTATCAGTAATTGATGTCGATATAAATATTTCGCTCTGTCAAAAAACTTGAAAATGTAATACAACTATACAAAGTTCCTCGTAAGTTGTTGTTAGTGGAAATTAAAAAAAAGTTCAGTAATAATTTTTTATAAGCGGCTGAAGTTCAAATTTTGACAAAATTCGTAAAAATTACGAACATTTGCAAATTACTTGAGTAACTCAAAAAACTAACTGTTAGATATTCATAAAATTTTTCATTTTTATATTTAAGATTTGACAATTTTAAAAAATATTTCTGATAAGTTTGTTTAATTTGATCAAAAAAAAAAAAAAAAATAATAAATATATAAACCTATTTTTTTATAGTGATTTGAAGTTCAAGTTTGGGCGTAATTATATATTTAAACGAAGAAGAACGATTTTAGTTTTGTGTTTTAATTTAAAAATATTATTCGTGGATGCTTGAAACTTCTAAAGTATTTTATTTTATACAATATACAAATATAAAATATGATAATACAAATAATATTAATTTAATTTATGGCATTAATAATAACAATATAAATATAATATAAAATATGCTAGGCTGACAAACCGTCTCCACTAAGAATCGTTTTTCGTATATAATGATATTATATCATTGAATTCAAATTTGACACCATCCATTTGCAGCAGAGCGTCATTCACTTTTTAATTTTAATTTTTATCAGTGATTGAATCTACTTAACTTTTATCATATACACTATGCATATGCATGTAGTAGATATATACAGTCAACTCGCGATATAACGAACTTCAAGGGACCGAGAAAAAAATTCGTTATATCGAAAGTTCGTTACATCGAAATTATATTATACCGCGATATTTTCAAGGGACCGGTAGTTTTATTCGTTATATCAAGATTTTCGTTATATCGATATTCGTTATATCGCGAGTTGACTGTATATGATAAGGGAATAAAAAAACATATCAGGAAAAAACTCAGAAAAATGATGGAAGAAGTCAACACTTTGTATTAATTATGTGTCAAATTGATTCGTAATGTTTATTATCATTAGTGTAGAATCAAACATGACGGACGCCATTTACACTTCAGGTAGCTACGAGGAATACGAGTTAGGAATTTGATAAAGAGGATACGTATACGTTACGTTGTGATGACTGATTAAAAATTAGCTGTCCGCCTAGCTTGCCCTGCCAAAATTTTTTTTATTTTTGTAAAAAGTTGTCATAGATATGTCTACTACTATTCAAACCTAATAACAATGAACCCACAAAAAAAAAAAACATCATTTACGCGAGCAGAAAACTGAATGCACGTGTGAGGTACCCTCTTTGACTTTGTATAGCTACCAGGGGGGGTAAAAAGGAGAAGAAAAAAGCTCAAAGCTAAAGGATGAAGGAGTCTATATTGATATCACTTTAATTGCTAAAAGGTTCCAGTAGTTTTGAGGTCTCTAGCTACAAACAGACAGATAAATATCCATTTTTACTATAGAATATTTTATAAAAGTATTTTTGGCTTCCTAATATCGTACAGTTTTTAATTTAATTTTTTGAGTGTAATTTTAAATTTTTTACACAGTGTGCGGTATGACAAATAAGTAAAGAAAATATTTTTGTGTAATAGTTCATGCTATCGGGGAGGGGGGGGATATACATAATACTATATATCCGTGGTCGGCAATTAAATTCTATGGCGGTCTAGATAATTAAAAAAAAAAAAAATGTTCAAGGGCCAGAAAAAACCTAAATATTAGTTAATATAGGTACCTAATGTGTTCATTATTTGTGTTAAAAATACAGTTTTAAAGCAAATTATTCAATATAATATATAATATTAGCCAGTTTTTTAAGATTTGGTACTCTTTGAGAACAAGCGTAGTGTGTTTTGTGAGATCAGTAAATCTTTAACGATATTTAATGAAGTTTACCATAATATGTATATGTGGAGCCAAAATGCATCCCAGTACAAAATAAAAATAAAAATCTTGATAGTAATCGCTATACGCATGTTAGTTTGGTATAATGCAGGTATATACTCGTTACACACGGTCAGGTATTAATGTTATGATAAAACATAATATTATAATGTTCCTAATTATTAATTATTGTATATAGCCATGCAACTCGCCGACGAAGGATACGACGTGTGGTTGGCAAACAGTCGTGGTAACACTTATAGTAGAAAACACGTGTCACTGAACTACAAGCAAAAATCTTATTGGAATTTCAGGTAGGCTCTTACGAGGTACATATTATTATATATTGTAAAAAAAATAATATTATTATTATTATTATATAATTATTGCACAATAAATATTAGCATTGATATTAGTACAGTCGGTTTAAAATATTTATAGTACCTATTTATACAATCTTTTCCATTTTTTTGTCACTAACAATCGTAAATAAAAAAATAATGAATAATATTGTGTTGAGCAAATTTAATGCTAGAACACCATTCATTCAGAAATTCAAATACTCCACCTCAGAATTATTTACCATATTTATTCGGCATTTTGGCGTTGTTGAATCTAAATAGATTATATCACAAAAGAAATATTACCCAATTATGCCTACAATACCTATTATATTATTATTTATGACCTATGTAACTACTGTCTACTACACTACTCCGATCTTTGTCTTACATTGCAGTTTACACGAAATTGGAGCGTATGATTTGCCGGCTGCGTTCGACTATATCCTGATGAAAACAAACTCCTCGCAACTCCACTACATAGGTTATTCCATGGGCACTACTGTGTTTTTCATCATGGCTTCGTCAAGACCCGAATATCAGTCGAAAATCCGATCTCAAATAAGTCTCGCACCGGTAGCGTATTTCACTCACTTGAGGTCACCGATAAGACACGTGGCTCCATATGCCAGAATGATGAACGTGAGTATGATTAGGTATTTTGTAATTAGTACTTAGTATGATAATAGAAAACAAATTGGATACGAATAGTTTTCTGCAAAAATAAAACGCAATGACACATCACCCTAAGAGAATCGATTTTACAGCTAGCGTGCCCAGTGCCGCAACTAGGTTTTGTTGGGCCCTTGTGCGTAAAATGTTATGGGGCCTGTACTTGTACTCCAATATGATGAGCAGTTGTACTGTCCCAAACAATGCTGACAGACACAAAAAAAATATATATAAATAAATAAACACATCATAATCAATAATCAATACATCCATCGTTCCGCTCAGAATCTAAAAATGTCAATACTTGAATTGTTTGAATTATTTATTTTTCGAATAACATCAAAATAATATCAATCTATTATAGAAGGTATCTACATTTTCCATTTTTTTTCGAATAATAAATTATTTAATTTTTCCTTTTGATGATGGGGCCCCCCATTTAAACATAAAACCTGGACAGGGAATGCAATGCATACTGAGTGTGCCAACAGTGATCATGGTGAGGATTTTTATTTTTAGGTAGTTGTGCGTCATCTGTGAAACGATTTCTCACTTCTATTCTACATTTTACTCGATATATTATTAAATGGACTATTTTTCGTACAGATCGCTTACCAGAGAATGACGAACGGAATGGTTCTGCCGCAGACGAGGATGAAAAAGATTTTCGCATCGACCGTTTGTGCGGGGAAAATGACGCAGAAACTGATATGCCAAAGGGGATTCATGTTTTTCATCTGTGGCAGTGACCCGAAATACTTTAATACCGTAATAAAATATGAGTTCTAATACTTTTTTGCAATTTCCGTTGTATACACTATAATAATATATACATAATAATACACGAGGAAGCGATAACTATAGTTTTTGATGTTATTGACGGCGTTCGTTTGTTGTCTTAGAAATTGATCCCGCTGATCATGGGACACTTTCCGTCGGGAACGTCGTCCATGGTTCCCGAGCATTTCGCGCAGATCAAATTGAAAGGTGTGTGTGCAATAAAACAGTATTTAGATTACAAAAATAAACCAATACATAATATATAAATATCTACTCTTAACAAATAAATCGTTAATTCTCTCATCAGTTAATTGTTTTTTTAAATATACCTTATGCATAGTAATACCCATATCATACCTAATAACTTGGTTTCGTCGCAGACGCTTTTGGTCGGTACGATTACGGTCCGGTCACTAACATGGAAAGGTACAATTCTACCGAACCTCCCAAGTACGATCTGACATCGATCCAGGTGCCCATCACGTTGATGTACGGGAAGAACGACTTGGTGGCCGACGTCGAGGTGAGGTTTAGAGTCTATGAATTATAATGTATAGGTAATATTCTCACCTGTTCCACGAGTAACCAAATTTTTTATTTTCACGTAGGACGTGATGAAATTGAAATCACAACTGCCCAGACTGATGGATGCCGTGATGATCGACAATCCGTACTTCAACCACTTGGACTTTATGTGGAGCATAGAAGTCAACGAACGGGTGAACGATCCGGTCAAGGAAACGCTGCGGAAGACCGACAATATGGACTGGGAGTACTCGGGGCCAAATCTTTCGCAGTCGAAGGATATTTTCAATGTCAGTGGCAATGTCAGCGATGGCTATATCGGTGCCAGTGGAAATGTCAATATCAACGGCAGTGGACATTTCAGTATCAGTGGCAGTGGGCATTTCAATATCAGTGACCGCGATGAAAATTTAAATACTAGTGACAGTGGAAATGTCAATATCAGCGACAGTGGACATTTCAGTATCAGTGACCGCGGTGAACATTTAAATACCAGTGACAGTGGAAATTTAAATATCAGTGGCAGTGGGCATTTCAATATCAGTGATAGTGCAGGCGATGTCGGTGGCAGTGGAGGTAGCACTGGCAATATCAGTGGAAGTGTTTCGCCGTCGGATTTGGATTACTTTGCGAAAAACTTGGGCAAGATAATCGCGGACGCCATGCCCAAGCCGATGGATCGCGAAGGTGATGCAGCCGAATTCGAACGGGAACGGATCCTGCAAGAGACATTGTTGGCGGACTCCATCGATTTCGTTCGGTCGGTCCAAAAGAAGTATGGATCGAAGCTGGTCTGGCAAGAGTCGTCGACGCGTGCCTCAGGTGACCGTTGGAGAATCGAACAGGTCGTCACAAGCCCGAATGACGCTGTCTGATGAACGTCGTTTGAGCCGTGAGCGCCGAAGGTTTGAGTTTTCGTCTCTCGAGATGTCACCCTCGAAAGTAATACTACCTATACACTATATACAATATATTTCAGTATTATAATAAGTTATGGTCTACAAAACAATAACATCAACTCTGCGAGTAGGTATATACTATGTTGTATATTATATATTTAATATTTACACCAATATGATACGGCGTAGGAACCTACCTATACATATATATACATGCGTATTTGTATTTGTATATTTAACTACAAAATGTGGTACAGCTGGTAGGTACTTCAAAATTTTTCAGAATTTATTCTTTCGACAGGTATTTTCAATCGTTTTGATACATACACTTAGGCCTGGGCAAAAAAGAGGTTAAGGTTAAGTTAATGTTAAACTTTTAACACTTAATTGTAGTTAACGTAACTGATGTTTATTGATATAACTTATAAATAACGAGTTACCTTTAAATAAATCAAGTTACGATAATTTATAAGAGTTAAAGAATAAATATAATAAAATTATTATAGATGATACATGTTGCGTAAACATTTACTTTTTATTATTTTAAACCATATTAAGTACCTACTGGCTATTTATAAATTTAAAAAAAAAAAAATAAGTTAATTGTTTCCATATAACTTTTAACTTAACTGAGTTAAAAAAAAAATTATTAACTATAAACTTTTTTAAATATTTTCTATCAACTCAATTAAAAATTATCATTAACTTGCCCAGGATTGCATACTTTTACTACTTTACCTACTTTTACTTGGGCGTTGTGTGATAAGCTGTGGGTGGTTTATTACCGTGTCAAAAATTATAATATAATAAAAGGGCTTGTCAAATTATTTCTTATTATTGCAGCCCCACCCCCATCACCAAAAAAAATTGTAAGTTTGCACTGTCGTGGTATAATTTTTATTTTACACACTACCTATAGTTTTTTTTTATATTTTTCTACACGCGTTTTGCATCGTTTGACGATGTTTGCAATTAGCAATATCATTCTAACCTTTGAATTTAAATTAATATATTATATTCTATAATTAGATAGGATAGGTCAGGTAATATTATACAAAATCGTTTTAAGTGTACAACATCAAGCAGGTGTGGCATAATGAGCTCACCATGATAATATCTACTTAAAGTAAAATAAAATTATGACAATCCACTGCAGTTACATAATAATATTAAACTATGCAGATAAATAATTATAATTTAGAAGTGTCAAACTATATTTTGTTTACCTACTTTTACATTTTAAGAAACTAATGTGAAATTAAAAAATAATTCTTAAGTTGTATAATATTGAGAGTGGATAGTTTGGTCCACACCGTAGCATGGATTGTACCTAAAAAAATGTATATAATTATGTATTTATATTTATATTCATAATAAATTAATTGCTGAACTTAAAATAGTTGTATGGTTGTTATATTTTTAATTAAAAAAAAATGCCCACACGAACAGCGTAATTGATTCAATTGACCTCGACGTGATGCGACAAATAATACTATAAATTATAATATTTTATTTACTAATAATGTTCATGATTATTGATTTATTTATTACCTTTCGTGTTTAAAGACCATCACATTTTTTAGCGTCAGCCCTAATTGGTGTATAGAAATATGTTTGATCGCTTGAACACAGAAAGGTGTATGAAATATTTTTTTATTTCCACATGTTGAATGTACCATACTTTTTAACTGTGACTCATTTTAGGCTTTTCACATATTTGTTTTATTTTTACACGTGCCATTTAAATGACAACATATCCAATTGTCACATTGACACATGACACATTGTTGCAGTTAATATCTAAAGATATATTTTTATTGGTTAATTTTTTATTAGTATTGCTGTAAATTTTAATTGATTGTTTAATAAAATACTATTTACTTATCGATAATCTGAATTTTGTACAAACGAGTATTCATTTTAATTTGTTCCTGTTGAATATGATTTTATATTGTTTTTAAAACCTATTTCAGCTCTTGTCTATAGTCCAGGTTGTATATAACCCTAATTGGACGATAAATTGAATCATAAGGACAACTTTCAAGCCAAGTTTTTATGAAATTCATAATTAACGCCAAGGTGGGTGTAGAACTAAACACAAAAAACTGCTTTTTTTGCAAATATTATTATAAGTTTATTACACGACCACAATGGTAACCAAATAGTTCATTCGACTTTATTAATAAATTATTACATATTACATAGTTTCGATTAGTTTAAATAATTGTAATTGATCAAACATGTACCAGTGTTTGTCCACGTAATTTTATTAATTCACATGCATGGTTTTAATTATATGTTACAAGAGTTACAACCAAAATTTTAAATAATATAATATAGATTGTAGTAAAAAAAAAAATTCATTTTGGGCATCACATTATGAAATACGTGTGGCACAATGATTCATTTTATTATTTTATCATACCTCATTGTGATTGACAAAAATGATTATCACATTGAATATGTATTATATATATATAAATATATATACTACAACAGATTTAAGGTTTACATTTAAAAAAGTTAGATACATGGAATGGTCAGCAAAAAATTTGATAGTTTGTTCACAATAATATTGATATATATAACAAAGCCGTTTGCACAACGTCACATATGACTTTCTGCATTAGGATTTTTGTAAAATATGTGTAAATAATCGTTAAACAATATAATAATAATAGTATAATGTATGCAAAAATAAATTATAATATATATTCTTTTTTAACGACAATAGTTGGTTGATATTATTATGTATCGGGCAAAAAGGCGTACGATCGAATGTCATTTTCGTTTACATAACACAACAATAATAATAATATGCAATGCGCCACGCCGACGTCTCAGGTGGTCAAGGGTGGAGAACAAACGAACAATTTAAGCCGCTGCTTGTGAAATGGAAAAAAATAATATTTTGATTAAAAAATATGAACTTTTAGATCGATACAAATTGATAAGATCCGTTTCAGATTAATATATTATGACATTGTTAAACATATATAATATATATATATATAATAGTATAATTACGAAAAAAAAAAAAAAAAAAAAACAATACAAAATGTCAGAAAAACGATCGCGAACGGACCAGATACATAATATAATATTATAATATTATGATGTAGGCATATAATTTGGCTCGCTCGTATTCCGCTTCTGATTATCTACGCGTGTTATAACGTAGGCAGGTATGCTAGCACATAATTTATTGTGCGAGCACACTTTTTTTCACACGAGACGTGCGTATATATATTTATATATATAAATATCGAATTTCTATATATTAAGTATATTGTGATAAATGCTTTGCGCGATTTTCATTTGCTGCTGTCGTCGATTAGTCCGAATCTTCGAGGGGCTTCAGGTCGCTGAGGTCCGGCGGCGAGCACAGGAAACCTCTGGCCGACGCGTATTCGATCAACGCCAAATGGCAGAACACGTACTGCTCGGGCGTTTGGATGGAATAGGCCCGCTGCGATCGGATCTTTTCCACCGCACCTTTGATGTCCACGGTGCTGGTCTCTTCCAGGCGGTTGATGCACACGTCCAGGGTGCAGAACGTTCCTGCGGGACAGACGAGACGAAAGTTGAAAAAACGAGGCGTATAGGTATACAAGTAATAGATGATGATGAGTACGCGTGTCGCACATACGTGTAAGTATGCATAAGCGCAATTATTGGGTTAAATTTATGGGTTCACACGCCTTCGCATATTAATCTTAAGGGGCCTGGTCGCGATTTTTCAAATTTTCCGCAATTCTATAAAATTTGAAAATTAAATTTTATATTTTAGTTGCCACCTCAATTATAAGACTTTTCCACTAATATACTACCCAATACCTATTTAGGGGGGGGGGTTGATAGGGTGTATTATATCGGTCAAAACACAGTTTACAGGAAAAACTCTCACACCTCGTAGATTGGTCCGATTTCCGTAATTTTTTTTTTGTTAGATAGAAGAATATTTTTACAGGGAGCATTGCACTTTGATTTTTGATTACGTTGCTAAAAATAAATAATAATACAAAAACTAAAAAGTTGTAAAAATGGATTAAATTCAAACTTGTAATATAAGATTTCGAAAATCCAAGTCCAATGCGCCCTGCAATACGTCTTCCTCTATTTAACAAAAAAAAAATTACGGAAATCGGACCAATCTACAAGGCGTGAGTTTTTCCTGTAAGGCATGTTTTTGAGCAAAAAAACAGGTCACGACCAGGCCCCTTAATATAAACAATTACCTATGACATAATACGTCATATTATTCTGATAGGTACCTATGTATCATTCCTATTATGACAATGACATGGTCTTAGAAATAAATGTGTCCAAATACTTATAGTCAATAAAAATTCAATGATGATATCAAACATTTGGGAGTGCCAAGCACCCCCAAAATTGCGCCCATGTAAGTATGCTGTAAGTATATTATAAAGTAAGTCGACGCCGCCGTATTATTGCCAATCGGTTTTTCGCTCACCTGTTCGTCCGATGCCCGCCGAACAGTGGACGATTATCGGAGGCCCCCGCTGGTGTCCGGCCCATTTGTCACCAAGGTCTTGTAACATGGACGATTGACATTTCCGGACCTTACCGAGGAAATCCAACATGGCGACAGCGCTGTGTGGCACGCCGAAATCCGGCCAAGAGTTGAAACGGAAATGAGACACTTGCCTGACCTCGTTGGTCTAAGAAAAAAAAAAAACAAAAGAAAAATGTATTAACGGATTTGGCTAAATTATATATTTTTTCGATGCGAATAATATTGTACTAAGGTCAAAAAATACCTTCGATGTTGCGTATTATCACACTTTTATAAAATACCTTTTTACGATTTACGCACGGAAATGTATCAATAACCAATTATACCTGTATAGTGGTATACGGTACTCGTCTTAAATACTATGATATACCTACATGGTGTTATTACAAAAAAAAAAGTATTAACGTATATTTGTTTATATTTATGTCAGTAAATATAATATATTATAACTCAATGAGTAAACATTTAATATGGTTTTCTTAAGGAACTGTAAATTCGGCATACTTTTATTTGACAAATTGCATTAAAAATAATTACAGTAAAACCTCGGCAAGACAAAACCTCCGGTTACACTTTGGTTACACGTACAATTTCTTTGGTTCCAATTCAAATACATAATGAATATCTACCCCCTCAAGACGGAAAACACCATTAAATCAGAAAAATTGGACGTTCGACGTTCCTAAGCGAGGTTTTACTGTAATTAATATTGTCAATCTAAACCACTTTTCTTGTTGTCTTTTCTATATTTTATCGAAATGACTCCATATAAATATTTATATATTACATTTTTCTCTGTGATTTAAATTTATAAATTATAATAATACAGTCAAATTCTTACAGAAAACATACCAGTAAAGGTGCGCATAAACGTCATGATAAGACACAAAGGTACTTATCATAAGCCAGTATAGCAAAATTTACATTTTCAATCACAGATTTGATCCATAAATATATTTTACAATTGATTTATTGCATGTACGTAATAACGAATAACTAATAAATAAGAGAAAACTATTATCTGACAATCGCAGATAAAAGACAGATAACGAAGTTATTTAAAAGAACGTAAGTGCCATTTTTTAAGCTTTAACCAAGATATTTGAGTTCAATATTTTATAGTCAAGTACCTATAATTATTTTATTTATTAAATTTGATTGTTTTGTATATAAATATTATTATGACAATACTCATACATTTGATATAATTGGTATATATACCTAGTACGTACCTATCCAATGACCCGACAGGGTCGAGTTAATTATAAAAAGAAAAGAGAGCCTTAAAGTTCACACATAGGCAATACAACACGCAAAAACTTGCCGAGTGTAATTACAGAAAGCAACACGATTCAAAAACACAATTTCTTGAGAAAGCATACCGAATTTGTAGTTAAATAATTAAGTTTGAAAATACAATCACCTAATTGAAAATTTCACGTAAACGTGCATGTCATATTTTTCAAAATGATTTAAAAAAAATCGGCAGTTATGGCCAGTTTAACTAGAAATTATTGTTTTCAATATTTTATTAGATAATATTCCCCGCGGCCCGCATTACAATGCACTATCCTACACCGATGGCAACCAATATACAAAAAAAATTATTATTATTATTTCTTCTTTTACTATTATAATCTGCAACCAATGGCAACCGTTTATAAACACATAAACTTATTTTATAAACAAAAATGAACAAACAAAATACAGCATTGTAAAACCAATATGTTCCCGAAACAATGAGGTATCAACAAAAAATTAGTGATATCCATTCAAAAACAATCCACCAAACTCTGTGTAAAAAAACGGCTTTAAAAGTCATGGTATCATTTTATAAAGTCTTTGAACTATAGATATCAATATATTATAATTTATATTCAAATAGTCTTGCTAAATAACTGAACTTAGTTTGGCGACTATTTTAGAATACAATTGTATAATGAATACGTAATGATATAGTCTACTATCATTGAAATAGGTAATGTATACTAATAAAGTGTTTTAAAGTCACCAAGCTAAGTTTAATTATTAAACTATTTTAACATAAATTATACATTGATATATTATATAGTCCAAAGACTTAACTATATACAATTATATCACAACTTTTAGGGCGGTTTTTTGTTATACTTGGCGGTTTTTTATTTACACGGAGATGGTGGAGTGTTTTTGTTGGGTGTATTATTCACGGAATCAAACCTAAACCTTAAATTTAACAATAATTTCACTCTGAAGTCTCCTGAGATGTCTCCCAGAGCGCCGTCAGGAAGTATGGAATCCTAACAAAAACCTGACCTAACATCGTACTCACGTTAGTATTGGTCAGTTCCAATCGCGTGACGGCGTAGTTGTCGAACTGACTGACCGACGTGGTAGACACCTTGTAGTTTTGGTACGTCTGGTCGTCGGACGTCTCGTCAGGTGGCCAGTACTGTTCGCATTTGATCTTGCCACACTCGAACACCTTGGTGGTCATGACGATGACTAGCACTTGCTGTTCCCAGACCATGCGCCAAAAGTCGGCGCACGTATGCGGCAGCGGGCCCTGGGTGGAGATGAACGCGTTCTTCTGTTTGTAACCATCTACGAAGTTGGCGTGTATGTAATCGGACATCGGGTCTTTGTCCGACTCCGCCAACATCACCCTGGTGTGATCGTAGCAAAGCACATCCGTGTACCGGTTCTTCAGCAGATTGGGTCGGGCCCTGCAACAGAGTACGACAACAGGACGGAGGGTCAGATGGCGGTACGATGGATGTAGGTATAATATGCGTCACACATATAGGGCGTATATCCGGAGGGTGAAAACCGCCAACTAGACGGTGTTCCGGACAACGCCCCGTGTAAAATACATATAGCATTTTACTCATACCACGCGGGTACCGAGGGTACCACGAAAATGAGATAACACAAAAATATAAAAAAATATTCATCATACTTGGCAACGGTGAATGTACCGTCGGAAGAACGGGTCTTTATCTCTTCGTATTCCCTGATGAGACCAGCCCTCTTCTTTTTCAACACGTATTCGACAAATTGACTAATAGTTAAACTTTGACTAGAATCGCAACGCAAACTGTCGTCGTCCGAAAACCCGCTACTGACCGACGACGGAGGCATCGGAGAAATCTCTTCTGTGGGCGAGATGAGAAAATTAATAAACGTGAAACGAATTGGTAACACAACATGGGAAAGAGTATTAACGGTCTGCTTATGAAGATAATATAATATGTCCTTTCGATATGGCTTAACCTACCTCTCGAATTTGTCGTGTTGCATGTCCACCCCGACAACAAGTTGTCATGGACGATGGCGCTTTCTTCGTTCACGACGTTGTTCTCTTTCAACAGATTGTTCGTCTGAAAAATGTACGATGAATTACAAAAAATCCTAAACGCAATGCAAACAACAATCATCGGAAAATAGGTAGGTAGTAGGTCTGCAGATCAATACGTGTACTTAAGTCTTAATAGGTATACATACTTTGGTCTCTGGCCCGGAGTCCCTTTTCGCGCTGTTCGAATTGCATATGTGGTCGGACATAGCCGAACTTCCATATTTATCACTGTTCGTCATGTAGTTCAAGCAGTATGACAACCATTTATCGTGTTCGACGTCAAACGTACCGCCCAAATGCCTTGGCAGCGATTCCCTGGGTATATGTTGGAGCAACTGTGGCAGACCGCGAAAAACAATAAATACCAACCGAGAGGTTATATTATAATTAAGTCGCACGTACCTGGGGCAAGGTGATCGTGAACACACGATCCCTCAACTTTTCTCTCACGAACAGCCTGAGTATTTTAAACGGGGCTTTGAACCACAGCGGCGCTGTGACGATCAGAACTTTCTTCAGTTTGGCCGGATAACCACCCTGCGAATCAGATAAGCGCACACGTGAGTTAAAAAACAAAAAAAAAAAACTTAAGACATAACATGAAATTTTATTGTAATCATCAACGCCGCAGCATCTAAACACATTATGATATAACATTGGAATACGTTTTATTTACACGTCACATTTAAATGAAACGTCGGAAAATCGTGTAGATCATTATTATTATCATAATATAATAGCATTCCCAGAGTTATCGATCGATTTAATACGACAATGACGACGTTTAAATGTATGACGTTAAATAATAATTAGGCTATTAATATAAGAGTTATCATAAACCGAGAACATTAATCACCGCTCGATGGCCGTACATATTATATTCGATAATAAAACTGCAGCTCTCTCGGGGAGTCGTATAGTCGTGAGATTTTAAATCTTATACAGTTCGGTAGATATTCTTCTTCGGGTCGACTCGTGCGGGACGTTATGTGTGTTAGTAAATCCGGCGAGTTATCGAATTATAAATAGGTCGGGGCCCGATCGAAGTAGGTCGTCGTGCGCAACTTGAAACGTATTATTCGAATACCAACTATATGTATATAATATAAAGTGTTAAAAAACTATAGAAAACTAGTAAACATCACACAGGTCGTCTCTAATCAAACGAACGTTGTATTAATTATTCAAGACGAGGCGAGAAAAAAAAAACCGTCCGCGGCGCATCGTAGAGAGAAAATATTACAATATATAGTGACAGCAATTTACAACGTGGCGGTGAAAAAAAAATAAAAGGTCGCGGGCTCTAAATTTAAACAACGGTACCACAGAGCAGCGTTTAATATAGAGCGGCACTTGACTGAGCTGTAACGGATTACTTTATGCCGAGCGAGCTTCGACGGACGTGCGCCAATTATAATATCTGCTTAATTCACGTTCCGGTCAGGATTCGGACGTTCCCGTCGAACCCAATTAGGGATGGGGGGGGGGAGCAAAGAGGCTTTGGATTCGAAAACGGTGCCCCCGACCCGAAACCGTTTAAATCCCGTGTTTGGTCGGTGGCATGATAACTATTATAGTCGAAAACGTATACTCGCTAGTTTTTAATCGGTCATCGGTCGTTATCGATTTGATAGGGACTTTGAACGTAATTTGAAACGCGACTCGTGTTTTTTGTCATTACGTTTTTTTTTTTACATACATATTATCGGACGACGATTTTTAATTGTGACGCCTATGGTGGGGGGGGGGGGGGTAACGCAATTATTAATCTCAAGCAATCAAAAATACATTAAGCAATCATGATAATCGTAAACATATTTAGTAATATTATTATATTATATACGATATAACTTTTAATAAATGATTGGCTACACATGTGAGTCATGGTGAAGTAAATGTCAATATACATATTGTATACGCATGCGATTATTGCTATTAAGAATTATGTATATTATAATATATTTTTTCAAAGCGATTAAAATTTAAAACTGTACGATAGTATATTATTATTATTATTGTGTGTATGATTATTAAACAAGATGAGTGTCAATAATGATTAACGTTTATAAAGTATGTACGAAGTGCGATAAACCGAGTTAAGTGGTTCCAGTCTTCGGTGTAACCAATACATACTTCGAGCGGTTTATCACGATATATATTTCAAATATATCATATATGTGTCGTATATATAAATATATTAAATACATACTAAAAATGTTCAGATGATAAATCTTTAGGGTATATTTATTACAAACGTAAACATTTTTCTATACACTTGTAGGGTTTTTGAGAATATCATCTGTTTATCGTTCGATATAAGTATACGAACGCCTATATTGAACGATTTTTTTTTTTTATCGAGATTTTAACTCCAAGTTATAAATGTTAGTTATAAGAAACTCCAAAACAAAAAAAAATTGAAAATAATAAACTCGCTTCCCACACAGCGTAGTAGGTAGTATGTATGATGGGTGCCCATCCTATAGTCAGATTTCATACACATACACATATATATATATATAGTTCAAGGTCACGGCGCACACACGTTTTAGATCAATAGTCGAGATGCCAATTTATTACAGAAAATTACTGTAAATATAATAAATATAGGTGCATCATCAGCATTTATATGAAAATGTATGGCGCTATAACATAAACTGTACATTTTGTACCATATATGTGTATTGTGTATAGTGTTACACACAAATCGATAAATAAGACAAATAACGTGTAAAAAAAATTACTTAACAATATATTGTCTGCTGTCTTCTACAATAGTATGATTTAGAATTTTAACTTTTAGTGCTTAACACTGCAGTATACCTTTTATAGTGCGGCAACTCCCGTCGTTTTAATGTTATATTTTGAACATGCAACTCGCGAAACTATTACGTTCAAAACATCAATATTTTAACAATTTTTTTTTTTAATGTGACGTGATGAAATATATTTTTTTTAATAAACGCTGAAAAATAAATTGAAAATGAAAAGTTTATTACTGAATCGACCCGAAACAAAATGCGCAGTGAAAAATAATGACATTATAACTTTTCAAATTAAAATAACTGCGAACAGAAATGAATCGCTAAACATTATAAAGTTCGGCAAACAATACTATACTATTATCTCCCCGAATCGGCCACGAGTATTGGATTTATTGATTTACATATTAGTAATTAAATTAACTTTATGATTCGTCTGCTACGACGATTAAATAATAACAGTCATTACTCATTAGTAATATATTACAATAGATAATGATTATCGGAATGTCGAACATGATGCATTATTGATAGTCGATACCAGCTATAATATTATATACTATTATAATATGTATACGAACAGCAATAAACTAAAATGGCGTCAAAACTTTCAAAACGCATCATGTATACACAATATATATATTATATCAATCGTAGCTCTGCACATATTATAGGCGTACGACTAAAAAAACATTGCATCATTAAAAGAGAGTAATTCTGCAGTTTTCAATGATAAATATTAAATTTACCTATGTGTATAATATAGCAAGAATCGATCCTCCACGACCAAAATTATGATATAACTGCAGCGATTCGAGTAAAAATATCGATATGAAAACGATCTCGACACGTAATTATGTACAGTGTACGTACATCGGTGACATATTATTCAAATGTAATTTCGATGTAAAACTGTCAGATGTTCTCGATACATGCCCGGTAGAGTTGTTGTCCTAACGAGAAAACAGTGTACCAAATTCCTATATAAATGTATGATAATTTTTAACGCATTTTACAGATAAACTATCGGGATATAAAATAAATCGTGTCGAGTTTTACAAAATCAAATACCATAATATTCAATGTAATATTATTAAAATAGAACTAAAACGCCTCTCGCAACGGTAAAATATTGGTATAATAGTGAGTTGGGTATATATATATATACTACGTACTACGTAGTGTTATATAGTCCTACTATAGGTGTATATACGTCGGGGGACACGGGAAGTCAAAACCATGTACGCTACATATTATAATATGAAATGGTGCGGTGTAGTTATTTATTTATACAATGTGCGCTAAGTAAGAGACATATGGATACAATCAGTGCACGGGTCAATAGTAATAACAAACTTGGTGAAGTACGCGCAGTACGTCGGTCGAGGAGCGTATTTTTGGATCCCGTAAGCCATCTAGATCCTATCTCGAATAAATTCGTGAAGAAATGAGAAAATTTCTCTATAATATGTATATATATATATATATATATATAACAATACACAATTACTACAATAAATATATTTAAACACGACTAGGTGAAAAAAAACTTTACGGTCGATACATCGTATGTTAACGACTTTTCAGCTCTACATCCCTCTTACAGCAATACAATATTATATTATATAACGATATACATGTTATCTACCATAACAACTATAATACGGATAATACAAAGAATTAGTGTCTATAGTTATAAAAGGGTGTATAACAGAAAGAACTGTCAAACGTAATAAATCATGTAGGTTTTACAATAAATTTCGTTCTAATCAATATTCTTAAACATTGTTTTATTTTTTTTTAATACTATTATAATACCTACTACAGGTATGTTGATCAACGATCATAAGTTAGTTCATTACATTTGTCCGCACATTTTGTTAAAACCTACCTAGTCGGTGATATATATATACACGAGATGACGAAAATGGACCGGGTGTCGTTTTATTAGGATGGGATACGTCATGAAATTTACTTTAAAAAATGTTCTCAACGGTCCGGACGAAACTCACATTAACGGAGAGCGGTTTGAACGAGTGACAAAAACTGATAGTGCTATGGTAGGATACGATGTATATGATATATAATATATATGATATGTAGCATACGAGGTAGCATATGATATGGGTAATAAAGGTTTTCGTTATAGTCGACAAATATTAGCCACGCGGAAAGAGAACAATGCGGACAGAATAATATACATACTTCGCGTTCCATTTCAAAATAGGCCTGGTGAAAATATGTTCGAATCATCGGTCTCCTTTCAGATTTAAAAATACTTGCACGCCAGGACTGAAAACGACATCTCTACAACAATTGATTAGGAATTTTAAGAACGACGTCGAAGACGGGTTGCCGATAATTGGAAACGTAAAATTGATATCTATTTAGTGAAGATAAATATGGACGAAAATGCGAAAATGCGAAAAAAAAACGAAAATTATAATTTTTTCTTTTTTCCCAAACGACCTTTGGCGCAAACAACAAAAACGTATATTGTACCCGCGAAACGATAATATAATATCATTATAGTTTCGTCTTGTGATTAGACCGTATATTACACGCCATTTCGTTGTTTCCACGACGAATCGTATTACCTATACATGTATACCAGATCGTCCAAGGTTGTGTTTAAGTCCCGCGAGCTCGTGATTCGGTCCGAGAGACGAAAAACGAATTTTCTCTTCGACGGAACAGTCGTCATATCGTGTAAATAGCTATATGTATATTATATACCTTACCAGGTACTCTAAATCATAGCTCGCACAAACAAAA